GCATATGGGCTTCTTGCGCTCCGCATCTGTGTCCTCAGTAGCATTTTCTGTGGATGCCTGCGTGTGTTTGTGTGTGTGTGTGTGCTGTGTGTGTTTGCAGCCAGGCGATGGGAACAAACGTGCATCTGTTAAATTTGACAATAAAGTCCTACAGTGAAGCTGCCAAGACTGGGGCGGCGGGTGGGGGCGGAAGGCAAAGAGGGTGGGTGAGGGCTGAAGTCTCAAAAGACAACGCCAAAGTGCCTGGCCCAGGTATTATGTCGAGGGAAGGTGAGGACAGCAGCTGCTCCTTCTCTCGGGGTGTGTATGGGAGCGAGGGTGCATGTGTCCCTGTGAAGAGTACACACCGATCTGCTCAACATATGTCGCCACAAATCACAGTATCTCTCCCTCCTCCCACCCCCACCCCCACCACAGCTTCTGACCTAGGCCGAAACAGAGAGACGCTGAGAAGAGGCGCCGCTTCAACAGGTGTCTCCGTGCGCAATGCACCTTTTCACGCATTCAGGGTCTACGGCGGCGGCAGGAATAATGTGGACACTTTGTTTCCAGGCGCTGCGCAGGAGCTGCGGATGCATGGGGGAGCGACCCCGGACAGGGAGGGGGAATCTGTTAATAAAGACCTCAGGCGCTCCTGATGGCCCTAGCCCTCTCCTCCCTTTGTTCGCAGACTCCCTGGGCAGGAGCTCCCTCATGCGCCCTGGGGGGTGGCATATGGCGCCCTCTCACCTACCCAAGAAAAAGAACCAGCCACCCATTCAAGAGCGCACGAGGTCCCCGGGCCCGGGGAGGGGGAGTCTCTGAGGGAATGGCCTCTCTCCCAAAGCGGATGAAAAGCCCGCCTTATCTCTCCCCACCCCACCCCGCCACTCACTCAGCTGGCGCAGCAGCCGTTGGGTGGGGAGCAGCACGCGCGGGGCCGCACCAGCCTGCGGAAGCGCCCCAGCTCTCGGCAGATGAAATATGGGACTGGTGAGCCCTTGGAGACCATATGCTTTCAATAAAAGAAGACAAATAGGACCGAGATAGGCCTTGCAGCCAACCTGTTATAAATGGGTGGCAATTGGGCCAATGTACACGCGAGCAGGGCCCCCGGGGGGGAGAGCCTGCTCAGTGCCAAATCCATGTGTCAGCTTCTGGGACAGGTGTGCCCAGGGGCCAGGGGCCAGGTCTCCCCCCCTCTGGGTTTATCACAGCAAAGGTAATATTGTGCTAACTATGAGTAAACAGTCATTGTGAAAATGAGGGAGAGTTTATCAGAGGCGAACTAGTTGGGGGTGGCTTAACAATAAAGTTGCCCGCCTTGGTAGCAGGTGATGGCTGGCTGCGCTGACTCCTGCAGTAGATGTTTTCCAAAGCACTCCACTTTACAATCTCTTGTAATTATTTATTAAACGAAATCTATTTATTATTATTTTAGCAAACACTGGAGACAGGTGGGGCTTTCTTTTCGTCGTCTCCTTTTGTTTGAAGGGCTGTTTGAAGTGGCCAGTCTCGGCTCGGGCAGCTCGCTCACCAGATTTTTGTCTTCCCCTCTTTCAGTGCTGAGGAGAAGGCGAGAGAAAGAAGCCCCCGCCTCTGGTTAGCCATCAGCTATTCAGCTTCCCATGGTCCCCCTCCCTCCCCGTTCCATTCTCAAAGAGCCCCCATGCAAGGCTACGATCCCCCCCCGCATCAAAAGGAAGGCGGCAGAGCCGACCGCTGCCTTCCTTCTTTTCCAATCTGTCCATAGTCTCCAGGCGTCTGGCTGTCGCCTCTCTCCTGGGCCCCCACAGCCTCCAGGCAAACGTAGATCCCGCAGGGACGTAGTATGCAGGGGTCCCAGAGGCCCTAGAGGCTGTGACTGGCCCGGGGCTGCAAGAGTAGGGTCTACTGCCGGAGAGAAGAACGTTTTCACAAATAACAAGTAGAGCGCACCGAGACGTCACCGCCTTGCGCCTCCGCCGCCAAAAGCACAGGGATTAACTTTGGAGAGGGGTCTGCGCGCCCCCTGCAGCGGAAAGGAAGGGCCCTGATCCTCGATCTGTAACCTCCGGGGGATCCTCGACCTCCAGCCCCGCCCTCCTGGCCTGAAGCACCTGGCGTCCGGGTATTCTGGGACTAGTCGGCAGCTTCCGCTCGCTGTGCGCTCCTGGTCCAGACTTTTTGCGCATAGCGGGAGTCGTGGCAGCCTGCAAGACCCGGAGGGCCCTGATATGTAAGTGCTCTGGAAAACCTAGAAAAGGATTCCAAGCGTATGCCAGCACTCTCTACCCGCCGAGAAAAGCCCGACAATCCCCAGAATCTTCTCTGCCGCTGGAAGCTCAGGCTGCGGTCTCCCCACCACTCATTAGCCGCTCAGGGCAGGCCCCAGCCAGGTCGATCCCCACCCTTGCTCTCCATCTAGGTCCATCATAGGTCTAGAGTCCCGGGTATGGGCTACTCTTCACGCCATCAGGGAACCACAGAGGGTCTGGGATCCTTCAGGACTAAGGTATCCTCCACAGACCCTGCCTGGGTGCTGGTGCCTTAGGAAAGCAGGCTTTGGAATTCTCCCAGTTCTCAATTGGCAGGTGTATAAATCAAGCAAGACTGGCCTGAGGCAGGAAAATCTAGAGATGGGGCTCGAGTGGTCCCTGGCTCCCCCTGGCACTACAGTTTGGGATCACTATGCCTTTTCTCATCTGGCCCAGTTATCTGTCACAGTCCCTGGGCTTCCTCTGTTTTCTGCATTTTGGGATCTCTGGTTTTGCCTTGAGAAAATATTTTCCCTAGAATGAAAGAGAGGAAGTGGATATAGGAGAGAACTATACAAAGAGTCTTGAGATCTAAGTTGTTATGTAGTCTGATTGATCTTGTTAAGTGACTGGTGAGTCATTTCCCCTCTCTGGGTCTTGACTGCTCCATCTGTAAAATGGGCCTCAGGTTCCATTCTTAAGACAAGTCAGAAATGAGTCATGACCCAAGGGAGGAGTTGCAGCAAAGATGCTGACCCAAGAGTTCTGGTAGAGTCTCTGCTGCTCTTGGCCCTGACCTGGGGCTTTGGTTCTCTCTGCTCTCAGGGGCCCACCCCAGTTCTAGCCTTCTCTCTCCAGCTCCCACATATGTCCACTCTCTGCCTTGGAAGTAATTTCACCCACACACCCACATACAAGCTGCTTGGGCAAGGAGCAGTCACTCTGCAGACATGCTGACCTACCTTGTCCCCTCACTCCATCTCTCAGTCTCCCAGCGAATCTGACCCCTTCACCAACTTCCGGGGGGGCTTAGGGTTTCTGGGCTCGTTAGAAAACCCAGGCTTCTCGGCCTCAGGACACTTAGGCCCGGCCCCAATCGTTCAGGCCTAGGCGTCCTTCCCCGGGCAAGTTGCAGTCAAGAGAGAGGAGCGGAAACCCGACCCCTCACCCAGAGTGACCGGAAGCAGAAGACCACGGAGTGTCCGAGGCGGGGACAAAAGGGAGGGGCGGGGAAGAAAGGAGGGTTCCTGGGTTCAGAATTACTTTGGTAAGAGCTAATGGGGCAAAAGGAGGAACCTGTGCTCCCCGCGTGACAACGCCAAGACAGGGGGCTGGACCAGGTGACCGCCATAGCCCCTGTCCGCCTGTGATTGGACAGAGGGACTGAAAGCAGAAAGAGTTGATCTGTTTCCCCGTAGCGCCAGCACGCCAAGGACATTCTGGAGACCGAGAGCGCGGGCAGCTGCCTCCAACTTTCCTCGGGCTCACAGTGAACCCTTGGCCCTCTCCTGACCCCATTACCTCTTCTCGACCTCTGCCCGCAGCCCCTGTCCAGGACATTAGGGTGCTGGCCACGCGTGGTGGTAGTGGAATGCCCCCTTAAAGTCTCGCGGCAGCCACTCTTCACATCTGGGGAAGAAACAGACAATCTGGGATTGGGGGTGGGGGAAGAGGGATCCAAGCATCCCTCAAACCAAAACCAAACTCCCTATCTGGGGGAATTTGAAGAGGCATCTCAGGGCGTGGCTGGGGCTCAGACTCTCCGAGGCAAGTCTCTGAGTGGCACGGTCATAGCCAAGATTTCTCTTTAAGGTCGTCGACCTCCTTTCCAGAATTGAGCGGGTTCACTCGTTAACACACCCCCTCCCCTACATGTGTTTCTTAAGGTAACCCATAGCGCAGGAAAGCAGGGTGGCAGCCGCAATTAGTGGACGCTGCTCCAAGCTGGAGTCAGGAGCCCAGACTCCTTGTTGGGAATCTGCCACGACCTCACCGTGTGATTTCGGGCAAGCCGCCTCCCTTTAGAGCCTAAATTTTCCCGTGTGTAACACTCAGGGATTGGTCTCCCCTAGAGGCACCCCCAAAAAAGCGGGGTGGGGGGAGTCTGAGCAGAAGCAAAAGAAAGCAGAATGCGAGCCAAGCGTTCCGGGTGGCCAGACTCAGTTTTGCGCCCAGGGCGAGGTTCTTTGAGGAACCGAGAGTTGCTGGGACCGAGCCCGACGGGAGAGAGTAAACAGAGCGCACTCCCCTCCCCCGACCCGGGCCCTTTGTCCGGAATCCAGCTGTGCCCTGCGGGGGAGGAGGGGGCTCGCGTGGCGCGGCCCTGGGACACCAGCGCTGATTGGCCGATGGCGCGGGCAGCAGCCGGGCAGGCACGCTCCTGGCCCGGGCGGAGCAGATAAAGCGTGCCAAGGGGCACACGACTTGCTCAGGAAACCCCCACGTTCTCACAGCCGCGGCGAGAGGGAGCGACAGGCAGGGCTGGGATCCCGGAGGCTTCGGGCTTCTGCTCTCGTACTAAGGCTGGGGAAAACCCCGGCGGCAGCGCCTGCAGCTCGGCTGGGCGTGCTCAAACCACGCTGCTCGCCTTTCTGTGCAGTTTTGCGCTGGCCAAACTAGGTAACTCTTTTGGCATTTAAAGGCTGCCGAGGGGTAGGAGGGAGGGGGTCCTCTGACCCGGCCGGATACCTCTTCCTCCTCTCCATCCCCACTCGTGTCCTGGGATCTAGGGCTGTGCCGGGGTGACCGATCGGCGCTTACCTGTCTCTCTTATCCCGCCGCAGGATGGCGCCTCATCCCTCGGGTGCGCCTGCTATCCAAGGGACCCGCCAGGCGGAACAGCCCTTCCCGAACGCCTCGGAAGACGAAGTGACTTGTGCTGCGTCTGTCCCGCCCAGCCCCACTTCCATGGCACCAGACGGCGCTGAGACCCAGGGGGGCGGCTGTCGAGGGGCGACTAGAAAGCACCGGGCGCGGCACGGGGGACGCAGCCGGCCCAAGAGTGAATTGGCGCTGAGCAGGCAGCGACGAAGCCGGCGCAAGAAGGCCAACGACCGCGAGCGCAACAGGATGCACAACCTCAACTCGGCGCTGGACGCTCTGCGCGGCGTCCTGCCCACCTTCCCAGACGACGCTAAGCTCACCAAGATTGAGACACTGCGTTTCGCGCACAACTACATTTGGGCGTTGACCCAGACGCTGCGCTTAGCTGACCACAGTCTCTACAGGCTGGAGCCGCCGGCGCCTTCCTGCGCAGAGCTGGGCAGCCTGGGTGGCGGCTCCCCTGGGGACTGGGGTTCCCTCTACTCCCCCGTCTCCCAGGCGGGCAGCCTGAGTCCCGCTGCTTCGCTGGAGGAGCTGCCCGGGCTTCCGGCGCACCCCTCCCCAGCATGTCTGCGCCCGGGCGCCCTGGCCTTCTCAGACTTTCTGTGAAGAGGCCTGTTGGCGGCCAGTCGGTGGGTTGCTAGGAAAAAGGGAAGGAGTGGTCAGGGGTGGGCGGCAGCGGCGGCGGCTCTCAAGCTTAAGTGCTCCTCCTGGCTTTCGCTTACGGATCCCAATCGAAGGGCAGACCGGTTTCAATCCCCAGCCCTCTGCGCCCCACCTACTCCTGCAACCCTCTTCCCGTGTGAAGTGGGCGCTGTAGGCTGCGCGCGTTTTTAGGCTTCTTTCTGGGGCCACCCCGAAATCTCGCGCAAAGTGAGTGGTAGCACTACACAGCCCAAGATGTTCACCTAGTCCTGGTGTCCTACCCGTACTCCAGTCCCGGTTTATCTGTCCGCTTGTCCGTCTGTCTTTTGCCACCACACGCCCCCCCCCCCCCATATGATTTCACCTCTGGCTCCCTTCTCCAAAGACGCCGCTGCTCTTCTTTCTTTCCCCGTCCAGTCCTGGGCTCCGGGCCACTGCACTCTGCCTTAATCCACAAAGGCGATCCTCTAACTTCTCATGCACTTTTCTGAGCCCTAGCGGTTCCAGGGGCAGGAGGTGACGCTGTGAACTGGAACTCGCTATCCTAGCGCCTGCAGCGAGGCCCCAACCTCAGTGAGCCCTGGGCTCGAAACGTGTGCTGCGCCATCCCGACTCGGAGCGCTGCGCTTCTTCTTGAAAAATCACTTTGTAAATTATCTGATCTTTTGAAATGAATTTTGGTACTGTAAATTATATAGCCCCTTCCCCGTTTTATACGTTTGTATTTATTAATGAGATTTCTTGGCAGGAAAAGTCTATATCTTGTACATAAGATTGTTTAGGGACTGGTGAATGAGACATTGAGCTAATTAAAGAAAAAAAAAAAAAAAAAAAGATGACCGTCCAGAAGCGTGAGCAAGATAATTCCATCGTCCGGCGTGGAGAGGGAGGCTGTAGATACCTCGGCTAGGACCAAAGGGGGCACCTCTGTCCTAAGAGAGGGAACATGATTCTTCCTGGGGGTTTAGGGAACTCTCTCGGACCTGGGCTGGGGTCCAGGCAGGTTGCGCGTTCGGAGGGCAAACCAGCCATACATGCCTGAAGAATCCAAACTGATCTGCTCCTTAGAAATGAATCAGTCTCTATGGTGGGTTGTTTTTTTTTTTTTTTTTTTTTAATGAGGCAGCAACTTGTCTTAGTTCAAACAGAGGTTTAGAAGAAAGACAACTCTCGAACTGAACTAGAACTGCTCACCCACGCGGCTGACTCTTTTCTCTGCGCTACCAACCTGGATATAGAGCGACTGTTACATTTGGGGAAAGGGAGGAAGGAAGTAATACCCCAGCCTCAGGGTCTGAGCCCTCAGAAACGCCTTGCCTTCGCGGGCATAAGCATCCCAGTAATTTTCCCCCAAAGTTCACAAAGGCCTAGAGCATCCCCTGGGCGCATTTTACAAATCGGGTGCTGGGGTAGTGGCGTCTTGACTCTCCTAGGCCAAGCACCTGGAAAGAGCAGAGAAAGAAGGTGGCAGGTCTGGCTGCAATCTCTGGTGCCCCTGGGTCCCAAACAACTTTGATCATCAGGAAACCGTTTGGGATTCTCTCTTACACCCAAAGTGGTCTACCTGGGGGCATGAAGGCTGTCTTGAGGGTGCTGGTGGAGTGTCCCTACATGGCTTCTGGGCCCCCCAGGGCCTAGGGAAGCCAGTGGGAACTGTAAGAATCTGGAGATCCAGCCTGCCACTAGGGACCAGGAAAACAGAAGGCGAGTATCCTACCCTGTGACTGGAAGCCCAGAGGCTTCCTTGGGTTGGTCCAGGTGCCCTTGGAAAAAGCCCGCTGACCCTGGTGGGTCGGGCCCAGCAAGGGGCCCAGAGCTGGTGCATGAGACAGCAAAGGGGCTGCTGCTCAGGAGTTAAGCCCTCCTGCATCGGTCTTCTGCATCTTTCCCGCTTCAAAATGAACATTTCTACTCTCTCTTATGTTCCCAGGTCACTAAAGTTACCTTAGAAAAGATACATCTCAGTTATCAGGGGCCAGATTCAGGCTCCAGAAGGGGAAGCTGTAAACAAAATGAATGAACAGAGGCCTTGTTTCATTTCATGGGCTTTAATCTGGGAGAAGGAGATTAATGGGTTATTGGTGACCTCTGCAGCCGCCAGCTTTCCACCTGGGGCACCACCCAGGGGCAGGTGTCAGCAGCGCACAGTTGCGATATCTATATATAGTTGGTAGGTTGCCTTGAGTTGATTCCAACTCATGGTTACCCTATGTGTCACAAAGTAGAACTGTTCCATAGGGTTTTCTTGGCTGTAATATTAATGGAAGCAGGTTGTCGCTAACCCAATCCACTGCCAGGAGTTGATTAAAACAAACAACAGCAACAAAAACTCCCTGCCTTTGAGTCAATTGACTAATAGCAACCCAATCTTCCTTCAGAGGAGTGGCTGGTTGGTTTGAACTGCCAGCCTTCTGGTTAGCAGTCAAATGCCTTAAGCACTACACCACCAGTCAACAGCCAACCTTAAATCTTAAGTCTTGACTCAAAACGTCATGTTCTTCCACTAAGCCACTCTGAAGTCTGGAGGAAATGGGATTTGAGGCAGGACTTAAAGTTTGGAGACAAAAATCTCAAGTGAGAAGATCATTCTCCCTGTAAGAGGCAGTGGAAGCTGGTGTCCATGCGGGAGGGGCTCTCTTAGTGCAAACCACCCCCTGCAACTGGAGCTGTGTCTGTATGCACTGAGTTCAGGCACCTGCAGCGGGGAGCCCAGTCCGACTCTTGCTTTGCAGGGCACTCATTAAGGAGTCATTACTCACCTAACATACACAGATGGTCCTCCGCCCCACAAATTAAAAAAGAAAGAAAAAAGCCAACCCGCACAGGCTTTAACCAACTCAGCTGCTGGGCTGCCACCTGGGGGGGTATGGGGGATGGATTTGACCCAGAACTCTCACCCTGCTCGCCTAGTGAGGAGGAGGCTGGAGAAGGCTTCGGGTTTGGTTGTGCTGCAAAATTTGGAGCTCTGGTGCAGGAGGTGCTCCGTCCTTGTGTGCAGAATGGCATTAAGGTGGGAAACCTCACCATGCCTTTTTCCAAAGAGCACTTCACCCAGAAGGGCTCAAAAACATTTCTGTGAGTGGTGCATCCAAATAGCCCAGTGTCACCACCATCTTGTCTCCTGGCTTCCTCTCCCTGCCAGCATTTTGGGTTCTGAGCTTTTAAAATGTGTCAAACTGTTGGCTGTCTCCGCGGGAAGCCCGCCCCCTGCCCCCTCCGCGGCGCTGGTTTGGATGCGGAGTCCCAGCGGTCTGCGGTCGCCGCCTGCGCCCCAGGTCCCTGAAACTGAGGCAGGGGCCCAAGCAGGGGCAGGATAGACCCAGTTGAACGACTCTTCCCCTCTTCAGCCCTTTGTCTGAACCCAAGCCTGGTTTCCAGCAAAGCAGCACATGAATCTTGCCCCATCACCCCTTAGCCCCAGTCTGCGCGCACAAGCAGGTAGATTTATGGTGCCCTGCCCCCATCCCACCCCACCCCACCCCCCAGCCGGCGAAGTTGGAGGACAAAGCAACTCGGGGTCATTGGAATGCTAATGTTTGGGAGCCAGGCCGGTGGGCTGGCACAATGGCAGGCGGGCCGGGGGCGCACGCGACCCCACTGGCGCAGCTTGTCCCTCCTCTCCCGGACGGGGCACTCGGTGGGTAGTGCAACCTTGGACAAATCTCTGAACCTTCGTTTATTTACAGGAGAGGTTGAGGGGAGTCCCTAATAACTTTTCACTGGATTTCTGGGAGCCAAGGGAAGTCGAACTTGAGGTGTACGGAGTTACAGTCCACACGATCCTACACAGCGCAAAGAAGCCTTGAAACTGGGACAGCATGCGAGGGCTTCTGCAGGATTCGACTGAAAAAAAAATGTGTTGCAGAATGCTGGGTAGATCGTAATTACATTATTACATTCATGTAATATTCTCAGTTGTACCCCTCTTCTCTTTTTGAATTCTTGGCGACAGTGCTCAAGAAAGCGAGGGGGTGGGGTGTCACTTGCAAAGCTTACCATCCTGCCCCACCATCACAGCACCAAGAACACAGACCACGAGAGACTTGCATAAGAGACCTCTTATCTCATGTACACTGGAAGAGTCAGTGAGGTGGGCAAAGCAGGGGTAGATGCACCCACGCAGAGACCCAAAGTCCTGGGTGCCTTGCCCAAGGCCATCAGTCATCCAGTAAGTTATTGGAAGAAGCTAGGACTCAGGCCACGGCTCTGAGCTAGCAGTTTGGAATCCTTTTTTCTCTGCCCATAGATAGGAGTGTTGGGAGTAGCAATCAGTCTGCAGTTGAGTGTGCATTGTCTCAAGCCCTCTTCTTGGGTTATTGCAAGGCCAAGAGGCTCCCCGACACTCTGGCCACTCCCCTGGACCCCTGTCGAGGTTCCAGGCTCCTGTCTGCCCCTCCACTTCCAGAATCCAAGTGCCAGGTAGACCGGAGCCGGCGCCTGCCTGGCCTCGGAATCCCCAATTTCTGTGCGGCTCTGAAAGGCTAGGGCGCGCCCCTGACCATGGTGCTGAAATGACAGTGTTGCTCCACAGCGTGAGAAACGCCTTGGGAACACAGCACTCTTAACCCGGAAAACTACCTGTCAACCCCCTCTCCCCAGGTTTCTGGACCAAATCCCTTAAGGAGGTCACAAAAGATGGCCAGGTGTCTCTGGTGAGATGGGGAAAACATGAGCTCTGCTGATAACTATGTTACTCTAGCAAAGACCTGTTCTCTCACCTGGCCTCTCCTTGTAAAGGATGGGGCTGAGATTGAGTGACCCCTTTAGGAATTTTGGAGCTCAACCTGAGAAGCTTGAGGTGGAAAGACATTGGAACTTTAGGCTAGAGCAGCGTTGGCTTGGGAGAACTAGTTTGGAACTGTGCCCTTGACAGGGGCCTCATTTTGGATTACAATTAGATTTTAGTTATTCTAAGAACAAGGGCAAAGGGAAGTCTTCCAGATGTGTATACAAGATAGCAGAGT